TGTTTATGCCGTAGGTATATTGATGCTTTACTGAATACTACTATATAAGACCTTTAGAATAGTCTAAATAAGACTTGTATTATACTGTGGAATAGCAACCCAATATAGTAGTACCCGTGTTGGAATAATGTGTTTCTTACCGTTAAACACAATTTTTTCATGGTGTTTATACCAGGATAAGAGTTTCTTTAGAATTAAATGCTTTTTGTTTGATTATTTTAATAATATTATTTTCATATATTTAATATTAATTTTATGAACTATTTACAAAGAAAATTGATAACCTCGCAAAGATCAACTGAAAGAAGTATGACCAACATAAAGAGGAAGAAGAATATAAGAAGATGTGTTATCAGAGAGAAGACTGGCCTGGAAGATATAATCCACCATGACAGAAGCCAAAATGGGAATGGGGAGGACACATTTTAAGAAGAGCTGATAAAAGATGCTCAATGGAAGTGCCTGTTTGGTCATCCTATTGTCAAAAAAGAGAAAGAGGAAGGTAGATGAAAAGGTGGAGCGATTTCTTTAGGAAGATGGCTGGACCACAGGGGTGGATATTGACAAGAGGCATAGATTCCTGGTAATAGGAGGATCCATATTGCGAACTCTGCTTCCCAGTAGGCTGGTCACCAGGAAGATTCTGAACCTATAAGGAACGATTATGTTCTAGCTCACAAAAGGATTTCTTGAATGAATCTGTTTTATTTATTTTAATTGTAAATTTGTAAAGTAATTTAATTTGTTTGTAATTTATAATTATTCTATTAAAATTAAATTAATTTGATTTAATTTTTTTGTTGTTAACGAGCTATGTACATAATAAAAGGCTTTATTATTATTATTAATTTTACAAACTGTAAGCTAACTTATATTTGATATATGAATTATCATGAAACTAATCCAACGTGATTCCATACCTGTGCACAGTTAGATTTATACTCGAGATGTATATAATATCTTATTGGTTTCTACAGTAGTATGCATTAGGAATTTATTTTAGCAACTATTTGACATTTTTCAGACATATTTTCAACAAATTCAGTAAAATTTAACTGTAAACAAAAATCAAGGATCGACGTAGGTTTATTTTGATGTTTTAGACACAAACAAAAATCTGGGTCATTAGTACCCGATCCATAAACAAGGATTAGATGTTCTCTCTTCTACGCTGTAACCTCCTTGAATGGTTACATCATTAATAGATAGTTTATTTTTTATTTACTTGCGGAGTTAGAGTTGCAAGTACAGATTTTGCGATATTATCGATATCAATATTTCCTTTCGGTATTGGCCAATATCGTATCATAACACTGGATTCGATATCATATTAATATCGAAAGAAACATCCCATTAGCGGATTTTAATATTGCATGTATTTAAAATAAAATTATCAATTTAAAATTTTTTTTTTCTCTCTTCATACTTCTATCCACACCTCTCATAGTATTGACAATAAGCAGATGTGATCTCATCGTAAAGAATGTTGGCATTTAAGGCATGAGGAAGATTAGTACTCAGCAGTACCTCTTCCTGGTCTTGGTCTACTTTATAATTTAGGAAAGGAGGTCTCTCATCCAGCTCCTCTTTAGTCGTCCCCTAATGGACATGTCAGCTGTGGCCATGTCGTTGATAAGTCCGTTGTGATGTCCGTGTAGTTTAAGATGAAATCGGGACTAGAGAGTACGTATGTGTTGGTCGATAGTCGGGTGTTGTAAGTCAGTATGTAAAGTTTTGTTGTTTACGTACCAGGGAGCTGCTGTTATTAGTCTTAAAATTTTGGATTGAAATGATTGTGGTTTTTGTAAGTGCGTCTTTTTTGCAGAAACGTAAATTTGTGAGGGGTATGTCCATATGGGTTTGAGTAGGTAAGTGTACTCATTTAGATTTGTCTGATTTTCAATTTTGATTTGGAAAAAAGGGAGCATATTGTTTAATATTAATTTAAAACAATTTCCTATAAATGTTTATTTAAGTAAAATTATTTCATTCTTTGTACTTTGTAATTAGTGCGTAACTAATAAATTATATTTAGAGGTAAAAACCGTGTATAAAAATCTTACCAATTCTGATTGAATTGTATTCAATGCAGTGGGCACATTTCATACTTGAAATACGAAAACAAATCTTTTGGTTTCTTGTTAACCCTTGTTCCTTAACTGTAAATTAATTAGGTGCAATTATTTATCATGTAGCTCCTAAAAATTGTGCTTTTATTAGCTATATGAAATCCATAACTTTGAAAATATTTGCTCTATTGCCATTGAAGTAGTCTCTTTCAATTTAGATATTTTTTGTCAACCTCTTCTTCGCCTTTTAGGCTATAAGTGTTTTTGTCCAATGCGAAGGGAAATAGCGGAGCATTAATGCCAGAGTTAAAATTCCCTTTAGCACCGAAACGCGAACTCGTAATTATTTTTTCATTTAAGCTTCGTTTTATTAAGTAGCCGAGGAAAGCGTGTTTGGTCAAATTATTTTGTAAATATACCGCATCCATTCCGACGCTCTCCCTCTCTCAAATTTTGGGTGGACTCAGCAAACTTTGATTCCTACTACTATGATGAAGATATGACCCAAGTTTCAAATATGTATTAATTGTATCGTTTATTTGGTAATTTTTTGTTAATTTTTCCTGTACTACTTGTGAATAAACTATTAATGAGATTATTCATTCATAACATCCATGTTTCAAATTTCTCCAATTTCAATTAGTTTTAATCTGTAATTAAATATCTATATGTTTTATTAGATATCATAATAATAAATGGATCTTGATATGGAATATCTGAACTTGCCTGATTTCCCAACACCCCTAGATGCAAGTGAAGGCCACCATTGGACTGGTGATCGATGGTTAAGGTTCCCAGAAGGCAATTCTAACAAAAAACATAGGCAAAACAAGCCAATTTTTTTTTCGCGTGGCCGTTAAAGTGACGGTCGACAGGAGGCTTGGTGCACGAAGGGATAGGATTAGAGTGCCCTTGAACCAACCTGTAAATCTAAGGGGTCGATCGCTACGACTTTTCAAGGCGATAACACTGCCTTGTAAGGCTATTGTAAATTTTACTTTTATTTCCGGAAGAGAATACCCTGGAACATTGGTAGCTATCCTTAATCTGACTCCTAACCATTTTGGAAAAACAAATAATTCTAATACAATAATAAACTGCGGGTCCCTTGAAAAAAATTGTAAAAATACAAAGAGTTTATTCGTTAAAATACAATGCATTTTGGTTCCCTCCATAATTCGTAATGATTTACGTACCCGAGGCCAATTAAACGTCTTATACTTCGCAGATAAAAATCCTGTGTATTCTGTGAAGAAAAGTTCTCATTCCAATCAATTCTCTGAATCATTCTTATTTAATTTTATTTTCATTTTATAATGGATTGAATATATTTTATTTTTATTGAGTTCAGTGCGGATTCACCATCAGTACAACGAGTGTCTTTCAGTTTGCCGAAAAAAGAAAATTATAAAAGCTGTTAAAAAATTGTTTTGGCCAAACAATTAAATATCCATTCGCGTAAAATTGCGTCAAATTTACGAAAGAAGGAGATCATCTCTAGACAACCTCTAAGTACTAAAATGAAAGGTTTCAAAATACGCATTAAATATTTTAGTTTATGTGTGTATTTTTAGAATTTCAATAAAAACTGATAATTTCGTTTCTTTTTTTTAGCAATCTATAATTAATAATGACGCTATCTCGAAAATAGTTTATACTATCCTATATATAATAAGGATTTTTATGAATGAGGTATCAAACGAAAAGATATTTCAGGGAGAAGTGATGAATCGTAATTTCAAAACTAAAAACTTTATTACAATTACAATAATAGTCGATGGAAAAATTAGGAGGTTTTAAAGCCCTAAAATGAACCGCTTTTGATATAACGCGTGTGCCCAACTTTATTCTAGTGACATTGAATCTCGATGTCATGGATTCCTGATCACATCGAAATTAAAATATTTTATGGATTGTCTATCTTTATATATTATTTCTCAAAGCTGTTTTTGCCGATATGCGACATCTTCGTTATCTTCATCAAATCCAAAGATTTAGGGTTTATTTTCAAAGTTATCTTCTTCTGCATGTGCGAAAAATAAGCAAATCCTCAAGAAAAGTCAGGAAAAAATTACTAACAGAAAGAAAGTTTACTTCAGCATAACTCAAAATTTAGATACTTTTTAAAAATTTATTTTAATATGCCATGCAATTTGCACCTGCGCGGCAGCACTCTATCAAATTTGATGTATTTATATTTTTTGCTGTGTATTTGCTTGATTTTGTTATTATTGAAGAAGTAGGTCTCTTGGCCGTTTTCTTTTTAATCTGCGTCGTTCAGGTAACAGGGAGCAGGAAATAGAAAGAACCAGACAATTGCAGTTATTTTGAGTTAAAGAATGTATTTGACATGGTTGTAGGATTTTACTGTTTGGGTGTTTAAGTCGTAATGTATAATGTTATTTGAAATATACCAAGGTGTGTTAAAAACTTTTCTTAGAATTTTTGATTGTGTTGTTTGTATTTTGTTTATGTGTGTTTGTTTTGCCGTATGTAAATGCTCCGTATGTCCAAATTAGTCGCAGTATTGTGTCGTAGATCAGTCGCTTGTTTCGTAAGTTAAGTGAGGATCTGTAGTCCAGAAGGTGTGAGTGTTGGTTATATCGTCTAGTTTTGTGTGAACATGAACAATTTTTCAGTTGATATTACTGATTATGATTTGAATACTCCTTAATTGGCAAATAAAAATCAGATTCGAACCATATTTATCAAAGATACTGTTAAATGTAATTGGTCCTCCCTAAGATAAATACATTTAATTTGTTTATGGACCAATATACTTGCGAATTGTTCGCACATGCCAAATCTCGGTAATCCGTACTAAATCTATGGTCCGTTGGCCACTACATGTTATTGGGATTGTTCTGTAATTTTCATCTTATAATTATATGATAATATATACTATATATTTTGAGTAAACTTTTTACATACATTTTTCCCTTTAGTTTTCGATACATAAATCTTCCTGGTCTTGCTGGTGATGGCTTCAATAGAGGCCATGAAGATGTCCGTAAGGATGGCCACTCCGAGGAAGAAGTAGAGGAGGCCGAAGGTGTAGACGATGGTCCTAAAGGTGACGTTCCAAGACCTTTCGTCGAGGATGGGCAGGATGAGTCCCGGCTTGCAGATGTCTGGGGGACCGTATGCGTAGGCGAACCCATGGGAATGGTTCGACATTGCTGCAATACAGACATTATTACGTAAGTACATTGCAAATCCATATATTTTAATTGATAGTAATAATAATAATGACTTCAATCTACAGACTTTTTGTTCTGATCAGGGTTGATGTCATTATTGAAATAGTATTAGGAAAGGACAATTTCCGCTAATGATGATAAACAATATTTCATGGAGTAAGATACGAACGTAATATGCCACTGTGTGTTTATGAATATATGCATGTATACATATGGTACAATTTCGAGCATTTTGTGATTTTCTCATTCCTCTCTTGCTTCAACAGCTAAGCTTTTACGTACCCTTACTATCGTTAGAAATGATTTTAATAGTTTCATTATTTATAATAAAAAAATATATATATAAATTTTTATAAAATAAATTTACTCAGGAGCTATCGGTGTAGACCCTTGGGGGTCCTGAGTGGATTTGTTTTTGGGACTCCTCAAAAAAATTATATAAAATGGTAGCTTCTAATATACAAAATGGTCCTCTTAGTAAGTAGGGCCGGATGGGTATAGATAAAACACATAAAACATGCGGATATTATTACCGTTATTTGAATAAATTCACAAAGAGGAAATCATCGCTAAAAACAAAAGGTTTTTTCGTCTGATTAAAGATAAAATGTTTATAATTTTGTTTTGAACTGATGTTAGTCTTTAATTAAAAAATATAAACACTACCTCCTCTTCTTCTATGAAATTCCACACATACAGGAAAACATTGTAAAATAAATTTCGTAAAGTATTATAGAAAGGAGGAGTGCCTGTTCGTTTCTCAATAACATATTTACACTGGTATATTTCGAAATTTATTTTTAGATAGATAGTGTTATTAATGAATAAATAAATAGTGTGGTGATATCAGTCTCATAGAGTACAAGATGCTGTTTTAAAAAAAAAAAAAAATCATTGTTCATTGTACGAAACATTAATAGTACATAATGGATACTGAGAAGAAAATTTAGTTGTAAACATGTTTAAAATAAGTATACTAAATCGAAGGAGAATTTGCATTTCAAATAAAAAAGTGCTCAATGGTATGACAATAAAAGAAGATATATTTTGTCTGAAAGATGTAACTGATATGCTTTAGAGTTATGCAACAACTTTTAATTTTTAAACATAAAATTATTTGAAAGAATTATTATTTGGAAATATTTCGGCTCTATTTCTGACAATAAAGAACGCTGTTATCTTGATAAAAAAATAAAATTGGAAATGAAGAATTTCGCAGTAGCACCACAATAAAAAAAAATGAATAAACATCAACTGATTTGTTGTGTACTATAGCATTGTATCTTGTTTATTGCTGTCAACCTTCGGTTGTTGATGTTTTCCGCGCGTATGGCCACTTTCATCATAGTTAAATCGGACCATTACATGACGCATTTAAAGACCCGATGTTGAAAGGAATCCACGCAAATGGGATTAAATGGATGTCTTTTCCTCATCGGAAGTTGTGCGGTCAGCTGGAAATTCCAACTGTCTCATGCTAAATAACAATTAGCGTAAAGAAATCATTATTTTCAAGAAGTTAATTTCCACTAAACCATTTAAGCTCCACTAAACCATCGAATTCCTCTCGTATCCAATCCTTACAATCCAAAATCCTTCGAAAATCATGAATGCTGCCTACTTTATTACAAATAAAACCATCCAAATTGACTTTAATGTTTCTTATGTTTCATATCTGGCTCAATCCAGATACCTATCCTTCCACAATAAACTTCAGAATCATCCCAACCCACTCGTTTCTAATTATTCTTCCTCTTCAATTCCTGATAACACTACGAGACGTCTGAAAAGAAGATGGCTCCATGATTTCCTAATGTAGACATATCATTAGAGTGCTACCATTGGGTAGTTTCTCAACAAGTGTTTTCACGTCATTATATCCATATATTCAAATTTACTAAATGTATTTCTTTAATACAGCTGTAAATATCATTAAGAAATTTGTTGCATTGTTGATGTACGGTAAAATTGACATTACCTTAACGTTTCATACATAAAAGTTTTTGGATGTATTTTTATTAACAGATTTGAATAGGAAACTACTTTACGATTGTTGTTTCATTTCAATGGGTGTCACAAAATCTAAAAATCAAGCTGTAAAAAATGTAAATGAGATTCCGAGAATGACCGAGTGTGTCCGAAACTAGAAAGAGGTGACCAAACCGTCTGCTAAAGCCCAAACCTGAACTGAAAATAACTCGTTGGGTGTTTGTTTATCCTTTTATCCATACCGCTATCCAAGAGCGGAAGTCGACAGCAGCGACATAGTGGAAGCTAATTATGGCCCCGAATTCAACCGAAAAAGAACAATCGGAAGTTTGCGGAAATCGTAAGTCGCGATTTAATTAAAGGGAGATTATACAGCGAATGTGCAATACTCAAGCGCTCACGGAATCTCATTTACACTGTGATCATGAGATCTTGACCCACCCATTCAAAGTAGAACACATGTAAAGTTTTATATGATTTTGATTAATGATAGATCTTAAGTGAAATGGTTGTAAATGGTCTTCGTCTCAAAATTTTAATTTCGCGCTCAAGATGATATGGAACAGAAGTAAATATCCTCAATTCACTGAAATTTTTCATTGAATGAATTAAATTTTCCAAAGAAGATAATCAACATTAATTTTATTACTTACCAAATTTCAAGTAAGTTCAATTGGGATTCGCGTCTTTAAAATTATCACTGAGTTTCTTGAATATTGCGCGATAATATTTTGATTTTACTTGTTATTTATTTAGAATATAAGGTTTATATAAGTAAATAAAAAAGATCACATCATCGGTTTATTGCAAAAAGTTATTAAGTAAAGTTTTAGAAAGTATAAATTTTCCCTCTGTGAAATCAAAACTTTGTGAACTTCATTTAATTATTTTTTACACCTAAATATATATTATTGCAGGCTATTTTGATGCACTTTGAATTTCTGTGTTGCATAAGTATGATCAAAATTATAAAGATATATTTATAAGTTAACCTTTATGAAACATGTACTTTTTGTAACCAAGGTGTTCTAGTCTAACTTTGAAATAATTCATAAGGAAGAAAAAGATAACATGGAATCTGGTAATTTATCCGAAAATATAGTCCTGGAAAGTTTTCAAATCTGTAGACGATTGTATAAAAGCAGTTAATATCATCCACATCAAAGACGTAATAAGAGATCGAGAAGTCTATAAAGCGAAAATAGAATACATATAAAACATTATTAGTTTTTCTGAGGTTATGTTTAACTATTAAATATCATGTTAAATATGATTTACTTGTCTACGTAATTTGATTTGTATGTCATTGATAAGATCCATCAATTTTATGATCATATTTGAAGTAAGGAAAGTTCTGAATAGCTGCGATCCTTTAAACATTTCAAAGCCATGGATTTTATAATATATCAGTGATTATAGCCAACATAAGTCACGAGTGAAAAATTAATTTCTATTATAATTGTACAATAGTCAAAATTAGGGCAAGAAAATAGTCCGTGGTGCATACCCCTTTTTATCGAATTGTTAACATCTGCCTGAAACTTTGTAAATAACTTCATTTCATCGTAACCTACAACTATTTTATTTAAGAAAACTCTTGGAATTGATACGTTTTCAATCCGGAGGGGGGCAAACTTTGTGTATTTAATTAGATACTAAAAATTCGTAAATACTCATTTGCTTTCTACTTAGATCGTAAGATAATTAAATCAAGAAAAAAGGGGGCCTTCAAATATATTGGGCCGTTTGGCGTGACCTACAACCCAAAATTTTCAAAATAATGAGGTTATATAGAACAAACGGCCCAATACTTTTTCAGGGCACTTTTTTCACGATTTTGTGATAAAATTATCTAACGATTCAAGTTCAATTCAAGAAATTCGTTAAATCGTACTTTAATGAATCGTATACGTTGTGAACTAAAACTAAAATGGCCATCGGCTGAACATGTTGGACAGGTGACTGATGAAATATGGACGAAACTGGTGACTGAAAGGTGGCCACAATATACAAAACGGAAAAAAAGAAGACAAATGGCGAGGTCGAGAGGTGATATTACAAAGCTAGCAGGCATAAACTGGATGATGAATGCCTGCTTAAAAGAGGATTGGCAAAAACTGTGAAAGGCTTTTACTCAATATTGGGCTTGATTCAAAAATTTAAAAACATATTATTTTTCGTTGTAATTTCCATTTTTGGTTTTGTTTACCACTCTATTTATACTCTATTTGTATTATTTTAAAGTCAATAAAAGTATTATTTTATATTATTATTTGTGAATAAAGGCTTTATTTATTTATACGTTGTCGACTGAATGAAAATTACGAAAATATACCATGTATAACAATAGAAAAACTATGTGCAGAGGAATATAATAATACAATTCAAAGGTGGATCCACGAGGAGGGGGATCTTTCGGGCTGAATTCCCTCCTCGAATAGTAAAATATAATCATGTGTTATGTAAATAATATTAAAAAATTATCTCTAAAATCAATGTACGATCAATGTTCAGTTGTGCCATCACCTGACACACACTTACCAGAATTTGTTACTGGTATATATTGTATTGTTATGTATAATATATATGTAAATTGAGTAAATAAATAAACATTTTGGGGGGTTAGAAAAAAAAATCTCTAAAAGTATTATTACTCGTATAATTGCATTTAAAAGGATTTCAAGAATCACAAATAATACACTGTAGTTTCTTTCTTTTTCTTTCAAAGTATTTATCGTATATATATATAAAAAAATAATTTCACCATAATTAAATCCTAGAAACTGAAAAGAATATTTCAAGAATTCACAAAGAAGTTTTGAACAAAATAAGAATAGTGTTGATTGCAACAGATGAAAGAATGCGTTTAAGGATTTAAGGTTGAAAAGATCCTACTGAAACGAATCCTACCTATAATTGAATCCTATAACCTTCCAACTCATCAATTCGGATTTCGTTCCCAACATTCCACTGTCCAACAAGGACTCCGA